TCCCTTCAGATTCAGGGATAAACCATTCTGACGTCATAGGTGTCTCAAGTTAGCAAACGCGGCCCGAGCCTTTCAGATTCGTGCATTCACCTCATCTGTCTTCGAGAAGGAGAAAGAGGTGCAGGTGATTTTGGATGAACTGGCCAGAGTCATTGTCCAACTTGGTATGAACTTTTCACTCAAAATGTAAGGTCATGATCCTGGATATGCAGTCATTGAACACGTCACTTACAACTCAGAGAGAGGTACTCGAGGTAGTGGGGAAAGTTATATTCGGGCGAAACAGAATCCACTCCAACAGAGAATCGACAATGACAGTCTATCATTCAACATTTGTTGGTTCGGCATAAAAAGGTAGCAGATAACTTCTTGAGACCGGTTTTATGGTAAGGAGAATGCTGGTTAGCAAAACGAGAAAAATATAATGGATCATTAGTTGTGGTGAATTAGAGATAAGCGGAGACAGAGAGCGGAAAAATGGTCACATGAACTTCAGCAAGATGACATGGTTAGATGGATAGAAACGAGAGATGGTATGGGGATCGTTTGGTTTAGCGACGACCCCAAAATCCCGAAGATCCACCTTCGCGAATGAGGCGCTCCAAATCCGACTGGCTTGGGAAAAAATAGTACTGTCCGGTCACGCATGTGGTCATGCGCATAACGTCATCGGCCCTCGTGTCATCAGCATGCCCGGTCATGCGATCCAGCATAAAATCCAAGGCACCTGGACTAGCTGAATAGCCAATGAAGAACAAGCCAGAATTTCCCGAAAGTGTGCCGTATGGCTGTGAGTGGCGCACAATTTGAAATTTGGCCGGGGCGTCAAACTCCGCAGCTGTGGGGAGAACAAGAACGAGCCGTTTGTTGATGTAATGAAACCCATTGCCAGGTGAAACAATCTCAGGACAAATGGCACCATATCTTCAATTACGTGAAAAATACTTGGAACCGATTGGGCAGGAGAAATAGGATACCCAGTGAGTTTGATTAGGCGTCAACTAAGAAAGATAATGGCTCCAGTATCTAGACCCAGTGAGGAATGAATTGGCACAGCAGCCATTCCATATAAAGCAGGAACATCGGACGAAGCTTTTGTGTCAAAAGCGAAACGTTGCGCAGCAATAAATCCACCGATTGTTTATCAAACCCCTCTGAAACATCGGAGGTTATTCGAAAACTGTTGGACTTAGCCAACATTCGAGGAGCTTTTCAGAAAGGAAAAATGCTACGCTCGGTTTTGATCCAATTGAAAGATCCCTGCCGGTTGAAAGGACTAGGGACTGTGTGTATAAAATTAACTGCAAAGATTGCGCTAAGGTTTATATAGGACAAACTGCCAGGGAATTGCACACCAGAGCATAAAAGAAGGATTAATAAACCACCAAGGAATGCAGGAGAATATCAAACGCTGGTCAAAGACTCAGCGATGGCGGTATATGCCTTACACACGGGACATAGAATAGATCTGGAGGATGTGGAAGTTTTAAGGCGGGGACTGCGATTCACACCACAGCGGCTGATAGCCGAGGCGATGGAAATTACTAAGCATCACAGCGTGAATAGAATCGAGGATGTGGAGCAAGCGAGCGTATGGAAAGCGGTCTTAGATAAACCGAGTTGACACGCGACTGTGTGGTTGTCAATCCACTTAGGATCATTAGAAAAAACCGGGGGGAGGGAGTGGAAACCCCAACTGACCAAAGGTCACAGCATCCCTCTAACACAACTATCTTATCACTAACTCATCCACACAGACGGAAAGAATGTTTAAGCGACGTTCAGGAGGGACCATCAAATGAACCGAACCAAAAGAACTAGACCCTAGACTGGACCCAAACACGTGTAGGTTTCCTCACCGACCCAAAACTTGTTCAACCACTCTAACACACATAAATCCCTAGGCCGACACCCAACAGAGGTTTAGCTTGACTTAGCTGATTGGTTCTCCTTCCGCCTTAAACGTCGACCAACCTCGGAACCTAGTCACTTGGCCTGACGAAGCTTTTGTGTCAAAAGCGAAACGTTGCCCAGCAATAAATCTACCGATTGTCACCAAACTTTTTCGAAAACGGCACCGTATCTTGTTCAAATACACACGCTATACACACGCACACAGTTAATTCCTCATTTGTGGTAAAAAAATAAATACCCACCAGAATGCTTCCGTTTCAAGTATACATGGGGATTTGTGAGAGGCAAACTGAAGCTGATTCCTCGCAGGGAGGAGACAGCTGTCCGGTGTTTTCCTGGTTTCCGTGTAGGACTAAGTTGCACGTGAAGGTCTTGAATGAGCCGATTATCGTGCTCGTATGATTAAAAGGAATGCCAGCGTTGGACCCCCGTGCTTCCCTGCGGTCAGTTCACCGAAAAAAAAACAACCAAATGCCAGCCCACTACAAATGCTTCCGAAAACGCCCACACCAACAATCAAGTGAGCCTTCAACCGCGCTGTCCGAGAATTCGGAGGCCAAACGAAACAGGACTGTCAGCCAATCAGTACGTGCTGTCTACCATTCAACACGACGCCACTGAATGGTTTAACATTCACGTTTGTCTTTTCTGTTCGATCCGCCAGTTTGTCTTTAACATGCGTCGACACTGTCCGGCTACGTGCATCCACTTGGTAAAAAGCACTGTGTGGCCCTGCCGTATCTGACTGTCTGGACACCTTACGTTACGAATTTTTCAGTCCGCAACGGGATCTTACCTCATAAATTGGTCCGCAATTATATACTTTGGGCAAATTCACTGAGATGAACTGGTAGAGTATCGGCTGCTATACGACCGTCTTGTTTTGTCAACAGCCATTAGGCTGAGCAGAATTCGTCCGGTGGCTGTTAAAAACAAACGAAAACTTGAAGGAACCTATTCACACGGTTGCTGAAAACATTTTAACAACCGACGACCTGTTTCGCCCCTTTTGGGGCTCATCAAGTGGGCTTAGTTCCAAAACCAAATTGGTGTACAAATGAATGCATTTCGCGAATTTCTTGCCATTCGAATTCAAGTGGAACATGAAGCCGACGAAAATTCGAGGACTGTGCCTACTTGAAGAGCAAAACCAGTTATGGGCTCTGGAAGAGTTTTCAGCAACTTTGTGAGTAGTTTCCTTTATGAAAACATACTGCGATATCTCGAAGCATGAGACTGCCTTTGTGCAGTCGGTTGAAAGATATCATAAACGAGGGGTTTAGGTGGTCCTCCCGTGAAAACCAAATTGGTATGCAAGTGAATGAATTTGGCGAAACAGCGAAGCAGTTGTATGAAATGAGGATATCCCGAGGTTTCGGACCTGTGTTTCATCCCGCAGGCGAAGTGAACTTACGCTGTGAAACCGAGAAGTACCGTGCAAATTTTTTAATCATTGTTGCCGAATGGTGGGGTGTAAAAATCCGAATTCTAAAGGTTTCAGGTTAGAACTGTCCTACAGAATTGTGATACATGTGACACTGCTTAGAAAATGACCAAGCAGTTGTGTAGTGCTCGTTGGGTTCCAGGCGCAGTCTGACTACACACGCTTGATGAAGAACCGATTTGAAATAAACTCACTGACTAGACAAGAAAATGCACTAGTGGATAGAGTTGAGCCTCAAGCATCAAAATACACATCAACCAAATATAAAAACAGTTCGTCATAAACACCTGGTCTCGTACACAAACACGGTCCTCTCAAGAAAGTGGAATAACGGGACCACCCCAGGTCGCTCTTTTACTGACTGTTTCTGCGAGACCGTTTAGACAAGAAAAAAGCAATCCACGGTATCACATTCGCATATAAAGTCGATACAGACGACAAATTAGACGGGCTTCGAACAAATCCGTGGTGTAAGATGTCCTTTAACTGAATACGAAGCGCCTAAACCGCCTCAAAGTAGAATTTTGAAACAGACAATCATACTCTTCAGTGAATGTTGAAACATCTTCATGGTTAAATGCACACTCGCATATATCAACTCAATAGGTAGGAATATTTCTGTACACAGCCTTCTTGAGATCTCTACGGGAGTGGAGTGAAGAGCGAAGCAGTAACAATTCATCTGCTCCGGCTGTGTGTCTAGGAGTCTAAAAAATCGTTTTTTAACGCAGAGTATTATCTGGTCAACTCATTTATCACACAATATAATAGTGGTGTTTTCCGAAGGAGTGTAACCTCCCTACAAAGGGAGAGTACTTTTAAAACAACATTTAAAACGAATTCGGTCGCGGTAAGATAAGAACATTGAAACGTGTCTCAGAATCTAACGCCAACATCCACCACAAAAGTTACGCTTTAAAGTGGAGCACAAATAGGAAATAAGTAGTATGCACAGAAATATGAACAACATGTATAGCAATCCATGGTACACAACAGTACAGAAATATGTGAGAAACAGTGTATACAGAACGATCGTTAGCTGAGAAAACTATGATTGAAAAAAGGCTAGCAATTTTTCGTGTGCTTCGTCTCGCTGGAGGAATGGCGTACGATGCCGAAACGCAGTATCTCTCTCGAAGCGCAATAATCACTCCCCTTCACCCAAAAAGGGGGGAAATCGAGAAAAATTATTGATGAGGGCTTGGCTTTTAAGGGGTAGAGCAGCAGCTTAGGTGCATTTTATAGGTGGAATTCGGAAACAATGGAAGAAGTTCAATATAACTGTAGTCAATTTGCGAATGAGCGAATTGCCCCAGTTATCTCCAAGTTTCTTTAAGTGAATGGTCATTTTCCATGTGAATTTACTCTATATGCGGGAAACGTGCTTAAGCTTGGGTGCGAAAGCTGGTTTCCTGTCGAAAGCATCTCTTCCTTCTGAGAACAGCCCCGTATTGTCGAATGGTTCTCTTCTTGATGCCCAAGTTCCAACAGCAAATACTAAAGAAACGCCTAGAATCGGGAGATATCATCCTGCATTTAACTCTCGACCAAACTCAAGTGAAAATGTCCGGATCAGTGCCTCGCTGCATCGAGTGGTAACTGCCGTGACATAACTCACTAGGTGCTTGCTGATGCCATTTCACATGATCTTTCGAACTCATCCACTTGAGAAAAAAAAGGTTTTCCAAATTTATGCTGCAACCAACTGCTGTTACTGGGGCCAAGGAGCTTTGATACGGTCTTAGCGGGAACCTCAACTACACACAGTGGAAACGGAAAGACAGGAAGGAAGCAAGACCCAGGACACTATTTATCAGGAGGATCCGAACTTAAACCGTAATGCATCACAACCCTCTCGCAAAACCAGAAACCGTTCAACCACATCTTTTACCACATCGTAAAGATAATCATGAAAAAGGTTCGGGCAGTACAGTGATGATCACGATTCGCACTCCAATTTAACCAGGACAACATATTTAAGAGTACAATTGAAATTAACTTAGCTGGTAGAAACGCTGGAATCCAGTGAATATCATACATTTGCCATAAACATTACAAGTCGCCGTAGGTCTAGGCGGATGGTAGCTAGAAATCATATGAATGTCAACATGCCATGACCAGTTAGGCGACAAAAAACATCAATCAGCTAGCTAGGCATGTGATTTCGGAATGCAAGTGCGAACAACATCTAGGAGTCTCCGTGTGAGTTACCAATTACGTAACGTTCTATTCCTAATTCAGGTCTACACTGGTTGTGTTGATCCAACTAGTTTGTGAACTCCGCTCAAAATAAGCACCAGAAACAGGACAGCATGCAAGTTCATGTCGCATTTGATGCCAGTGGTTGTTCCGTTTAACGTAACTCAAAGGCACACTAATTTGTTTTTTCGAGAGACTCACCTGGAACCCAGCTGAATCTCTCGTTTGTGATATTTCCAGG